ATATATAACGTTTCTGAACCATTTGCTTATATATGTTGCGTAGTGGGTGTCCTTCTGGATAAAACCGGAAGCAGCACCAGCCAGAGTAACGCTGGGCGTGACTTCCTTGCTTACCCTTTCGACGCAACACGCGAAGAGTCAAGCGTCTCTCCCTCCTGTCTCGTATCTGAAGGCCGTGGACGCGTTCATGTCTGTTTGCACCATCTTCGTGTTCATGGCGTTGATGGAGTATTGCCTGGTGAACATCGTCCTCGGCGATTCGGATGCACCTCCGAAACCGGCGCCTCCACCACCGCCGCCATCTTCCAGCGGCGGCGATGCCGCCAAGCTTGACAAAATCTTCGACATCGCTACTAAGGTAACGCCTGGATGAACATCCGAAACATCAGCTTCAGACAGCTTCTGTGCCTCGGAGAAACGGCATGATAAATTTCAACGTGCGACAATTAATCGAGAATTTTGCGAAAGCCAAGCTCCGATCGAGACTCTGTCGTTTTATCAGCAGACTGTAGATCGATTTTGCATTTTCATGAAGATAATTAAAATAATGGAAAATTATTTCACTCGTTAAATTCTATTTTTACGTATCACGTGTTCCTTCAAATTCCTTGTAAATTTGCCAAAGTTCAGAACTGAATCAAACAGCGAAAGAGAAAGAGAAGTCTCTCCCGATAAGAAAGATTGGAAAATCGTTCGCCATTCATTGTCGACCACGCGTTCATCTCTCCGTGGCTCCGAGGCATGGAAGCGTTGTCTGCACAGCGGGCGGTTCAAGTTGTGATCGTTGTCACGCAGGAGAACGCAATATTGTTATCCGGCCGATCGCAGAAATCGACAACTGGACCACCGCCAGGCCCTACACCTGCCCAAAAGGCACGAATGCGTGCCCTCAACATCGACCGAGTCTCGCGTGTCTTCTTCCCTTTCCTATTCGCCGTGTTGAACGTAACTTATTGGATAATGTTCGCCGAGTATATTTAAGCCATGAAAACGCAACGTAAGTCGGAACGTCGGCTCTCGAGAACGAAGGCATCGGACCGAGAAACGAAGAAACAATACCGAAAGAAGACGTGAAAAACGATCATAATTCGGATCATAGTTGTCCATGTCGTCCAAGGATACCATCGACGATGGAACGTGAGGATGTTACCAGAGATCGAAAGTGAATCCTCGTTTTTCTTCAGGTTGTTCTAATTAATAGACAACAGTGATAGAGATCGAGATTCGAAGGGTCTTGCAGGGTAGATGGAGAATCTTGGCGCAGCGCGAAGAAGAAAGTAACGTTCAATGGTGTACAGTGTGAAAGCAATAAATGAAATTTATAAAAAAAAAAAAGGAAAAGAATAGATCTAAATCTAAAGATTCAGAAGACATCGAACAGCCTTTTCATTGAACATTAACCCATTAAGAACCAAGCAACATTTCATGAAATTTCATAGAATTATAGAATTGCAAGGTGTAATCGACGAGATAATATTAAAATAAAATTATTATTAAATATTGTTAATTTTTTAGAATTTCTTTTTATAATCCCGATATTAAAAAATATATAATTCGATGGTATAAATCGATCGAAAAGAATTGCAAGTGAAATGTTGCAACACGCAAATGGCTCTTAATGTTTGAATGCAATTGAAATATACAATAAATTCAATCCTTTATGAGTAGAACTTTACTTTCCTCTTCGTCGCATCATTATTTTCAAGCCACTCTACTTGACGTAACACTTCGTATAATAAAATCCACTTCAACTCACTTGGGTTAACGAACCTAAACGACGCTAACACAAAGCATGTTCTCTGATGATGAATATAAACTGTACGTTAATTTATCGAATTGTAACTGGAAGAACAGATGAAAAAGAAGAAAAAAAGAGATACGGGAAAATAATTGATCGTTGGTTGCATCCATTTAAAAATGTCGATTTAATGCACTATTTTATCTTGTTGATTACGAACGAATGACGTGGCACAAGCAGTCAATGGTGATCGATGCGTTTGAATGACTACTAAAAACTTGTATGACTGTATCGAAGAATTTGCGTTCTTATTCGAGCGTAATTAGTGGAATACGGAACTAATAATAATAATAATAATAATTTCACGATTGTTTCGCGTTCGATTATAAAAGATTACCAAGCAAGCATATGAAAGTCTACTATTAAATTGTTTTAAATTTATAACTACGCTATTGTTAAGAGATAACACGTGTTCCATTGTAAGGGACTACTCATTCGTGATAATTGTCGCTGAAGTAATCATCGATAATTGATAATCGTAAACTTAATTAAACTAATAAATTTAAAACAGTATTGTAAACAAGATCATTACAAGTGACTTTTCCCCGTCATCGTCAATGATTATCAATTTTCAGAGAGACTACTTGTAAGATTATTCTCGCATTTTTAGATCTGAAAACATCTCGATATGGATTAGCCTTGTTTCGAAAGAGCATGATCAAACCGCTGTAATGTTTCTGAAATGTTCTTTTGCTTTCGAGAGTATTCATTATGTTTACTGCGTACGTTGCACTGCTATAATATCAAAGTAATTACAAAAAGAAAAAACATGGAAGACAAATGAATTGTTCGTTTGTTAAATTGATTAACTGCAATACAAAAAGCAAAAGAAAAACTGACGAAATAGTATACAATAATCACATTGACTTTTGAAATAAATTTACTATTCCATGGCCAACAAACTTTTATCATTCAATGGTCTTAAGTTTGGAATTTTATTTAGTTAATGAAATTTATTTTAAATATAAAATAAAAAGTCAAGTAACAACCAGATGCTTTGAATTCAACGAATGCGCTGAAATTTCAAAAAATCGAAGAAGCTAATCACTTTGACTTGAATGGACACACGCGTCCTTCCAGATAATTCAAATATATCAAATTTGTTGCAAAAGTGTTTTTTTTTTTTTTTTTTTTCTAGTGAACCTTTATCGAAGTGATACGAATAAAAAAGGAACGTATAATCTACGTAGTTATGATCTTAAACAGAAAGTAAAGAAAAATAAATATAATACAGTATCAAGAACGCTTGCAAGAATACCTAAGAAAGTGAAATATAAATTCAAAATGGTCTTACAAAATAAAAGGAATGAAAGATTCGAATCAGCGATGTATAAATTTTATTTACGTCGAAAATATGTAGAATTGTGGATTTGTACTTACGGTCTTCAACCTAATTCAAATCTCGAACATTTCACGGACTTTTAAGTAATTCTGATTCGGAGATCTTTCAAGTAACAATACGCGTTTGTACAGCAAATAGATGTAGCAAAACACCTGTTTCATTATAGAAAACTAGTACCTACAAGATTTTCGTTCTAGACAATTAGTATTTGTTCAAGACTATTGTATTTGTGAATCCGGCCGAAATGTCTA